CGGACTAATTGATTTTATCAAATAACAGAGCAGAATAGAGGAGAAAAAAAAGGAAGGACCCAACAGGAATTGAATTCCAGTGATGGAAATCAAAGCAAGGCAAAAAGGAAAGGCAATATGATTTTTGTTTGGGTTCTTACAGATGCTTCTTTTGGGGAGAAGGTGTCTTGTTTTCCTGGCAAAGAGAACAAAAAAGATGATATGAGTGCTGCACAGGTGAGCTAGGCTTTGCTACCTAAAATGTCTTTTATGAGATGATTTGTGTGCAAATGAGCTGGAAGGAAATAATTTTCTGGCCCATGGCATCTGAGATTGACATAATGATTCAGCCAAACTGGGCACCTTCCATTTTAATGTATTCAGTATCTCTAGTTCAATTTTGAGGATAATGTGGTGCTAATGTTGAAGAAGTCCATGTTTTCTGCGACAATCTGAGGTGTTAATAAGAATGATGAAGATACCATTACTAAGAAATGCAATATAAAATCAGCAGAGATGAGGTATGGCAAGAGTGCTTACAGCAGCAAGGTTGGGTTTTTAAATAAGTGAAGTCTAAACTAGAAATGAGGAATGAATAATTTCAATAGTAGTAGAGGATAAATACAAATTTTGCTAGCACTTGTGATTTTATTCCTGTTAAGTACTGACCTTGATTGTGCTAAAATGTTGAACCAGTTGCCGGAAATAGGCCAAATTGATCGTTTGCAGCAGAATCCTGCTGGTGAACATTTCAGGGAAATGAGGAAACGAGGAGAGGAAGAAAAAAAAAGATGAGAGTAGGTGAAAAAGAGGAACAGATATCTTTTTATTTGGGAAAGAGGCCATTTCCATGCTTGCAGCTGTTGCCACTCATAGGATGTCTAACTAGAGAGAGAGAACTTAGTGGAGAAGTGACTCATGTGAGTCTTTCCTCCTTAAATTTGTGCTATATTTGAAAGTCAGTCTTCCTATTATTTTCTTGATTATATGTTTCTTTATTTTTTTGGTTCAGATTGCTTTTAATTGTTCCCAATATGTGAATCCACCCTCGGTCCTAATCCCAAACGCCAACACCATTCCTCATCGGAACTGTGCATTCTTTGTTAGTCTTTGTCCCACTTGTTGCTAATCTGCCTTTATTGTGTTTTGCATGTTTGAGTTATGTGTATGTATGAATACACAGTTCTTGGAAGCCACATTCTTTGTATGAATTCAGTGCTTATTATAGTGAAGTTGGTTCTTCATTTAACTGAGGGCTTCTTTTGTGGTCTTTGTTTTTCCTCTCAATTACATTCCTTTGTAGTTTCTCTTGCTTAATATTCACCCTTCTCACAATTAGCTGTTGAACTTTGCATGAGACAAAGCCATAAAGTTTGGAACTGCTTCATGTTCTTTTTCACCATATTACCATTTTAGTAGAGTTTTATTTCCATCTATTACTTTGATATTGCCCAGTTATGCCTGAACCAAGCATTAAAGCTTTCTCAACAGCAAACAAAGTGGTGCCATTGATCATTATTGTTTCATCAACAACAGTGACACTCTCCTTTCTTCATTTCCTGTCTTTTAAGTTATACATTTTTTGAATGTCATATTAAATGAAAGGTCATTTCATGAAAAAATAGCAACTAATCAGTAACTTAGGAAAGTTGCTAGAGAATGACTCTTGCTTTTATTGGAGTTTCTTGAAGAATAGTTTCTGCCTTCAGTATCTCATTCTGGTTCTCATTTGTGCAGGCCCAGTTCATATTGCCAATTAGTTTTGCTTGAAAGATGAGATGAAACAAATGGGACCATACATAGAGGTCAACAACTGAATCATTTTTTGGGAGAGGGACCAAATTGATTTCTTATTGCCTTGCTGACTACAGTTCCAATTAGCCTGGATCAAGCTTAAACATGCCTTTATGACAAAGCAGCCAGGTAAGGCCAATAATGGTGCAACACATACCTATGTTTAATTTGACTTATTATTCCTCTATTCTATATTCAATGTCAACTATGTATCTCAGGAAATGGAAAACATGGATCTAATAGGTCAGATGCATATCAGTTATTAAATTTAATCTCATTTTAATCAGGATTAAAATACCTGTTATCACTGCTTCGACTAATTTTCTTCTAAGCTTGGCACTGAAGAGCAGAAGAATGGACTTTTTTGGCAGTCTCAAATCATCTTCTAATTGTTGACAGGTAATTAAAACATTGTTCTTAACTTAAAATTGTTTGCACAGGCACCAGAGTTGCCGTGTTGTTTTAATCGATTGTTTTCTGGTACAGGGAAATCAGGAGGTGAAGAAGATACCAAGCAATCTAAGAATCCAATATCAAAAAAAGTATCGATCACATGGATTCCTGTATCCATCTGCCGACTCCGCCGACATCCGTAGCGATCGGTCAACATGACAGGCAACGCGGTCTCCGCCTAACGGTCTAAGCTTGCTTCCCTCCCTGCTTTCTTAACGGTAAAGTCTTCTTCCGCCTATATAACTCCTTCCCGCTCCCCCCGTCTTGTTCCCAGGTTAAATAAAGATGGCCAATGGCGAGATCATCGTCGTCCCCTTCCACGACTCCAGCCACGTCTTCCCGACCACCGAGCTTGCCAGCCGGCTCGCCTCCCGTGGTTACCGTGTCACCCTCCTCCTGCCGTCGGCTTCGTCCTCCTCCAGCGCTCTCGACCCTCTGATCCGAATCATGGAGTACTCCATGCCCCGACCTTCTGGTCCTCCTATTTTGCCATCGTCGTCATTGTCCTTGTCTTGCGCTTCCCCGAGGCCACACTCCCGGAATGACTGCTCTGCCTTCCGTGATCTTCTTGCCGAGCGATTTAATGGCGGCGGCGACGATATGTCTCCCCCGGTGTGCGTCATCGTTGACGTGATGATGAGCCAGCTGCTGGATGTCTGTGGGGAATTCGGGGTCCTCGCGGTTCTTTTATTCACTTCCAGTGGGTGCTCGACCGCCATGGATCACGCCGCGTCAAAGCTATCGACGGCGGACCTCGGCCCGGGTGGAATGGTGAGTGTTCCCGGCTTGCCAGAGGAGATGGTTCTGACGGCCGCCGATCTGATGAGTCAGGGCCCGCCACCGCTGCCTTTTGGATCGGGGGATCTTGCTTTCGAAGAGGTTGCGACTGGGGCGGATGATGCTGGGCCACCGCCTCCACTGGTTTGGCCGTCGCCACCGTTGCCCGGCCTCCATGGACGTCCGCCACCGCCACCACCGGATTTTGGACTTCAGTATGTGCCGCTGCTTCCGCGTGGATGGGGGCACCAAGATGGTCCTCCACCGCCACCACCGTTCCAACCAGGGCATCAAGCTCGCCTTCCGCCGACTCAAAGCCGAGGGGTTCCAGTTGTCCCGCCACCGTTTCTGCCAGGAGGCGGTTTTGCTTCACCAAAGCTTCCATTCGGTGGAGGCTCTCCGCCTCAAGCTAAGCCAGCAACCCCGAGTGGCCCGCCGCTGTTCCGGCTAGGAGAAGGCGGCGGTCCAACCCCACCACCAGGGCCATGGCGTGGAGGAGGCCCGCAACATGACCTCGCAGAAACCAAGGCAGTCGCGCTTCTGTTCAACACCTGTGATGCTCTGGAGCGGCCGTTCCTGGACTACGTCGCCGACAAAGCCAAGAAGCCGGTCTGGGGCATCGGCCCTCTCCTCCCTTCCCAATATTGGTCCGCCACCGGCTCCGTCATCCACGACAATGCCATCAGGCCCAAGGGCCGCGGAGACGGAGACGCCGCCATCGCCTCCGAGACCGACGTCCTCGAGTTCCTCGACTCCAAGCCCCGTGGCTCGGTGATTTACATCTCCTTCGGGTCCCTGGTCGTCCCCAGCGACGCGGAGCTTGCAGCACTGGCGTCAGCCCTGGAGGAGTCGAGTCGGCCGTTCATCTGGGCCATCCAACCACGGGCCATGAGGCACGACGCGGATGGGCGGCCTGTGGAGGTAGGCGGCGGGGTGGGTTACTTCCCGGAAGGGTTGGCGGAACGGGCGGCGGGGAGGGGGCTGGTGATCCACGGGTGGGCGCCGCAGCTCCTGATACTAAGCCACCCAGCCACCGGGGGGTTCGTGACGCACTGCGGGTGGAACTCGACGGTGGAGGTGCTCGGCCGCGGGGTCCCCGTGCTGACCTGGCCGGTGCACGGGGACCAGGTCTGGAACGCTAAGCTCGTGGCGAGGAGGCTGAGGACGGGGCTGGCGATCAAGGACGAGCGCGGGGCGGTGACGAAGGCGAAGGTGGCAGAGGCGATCGAGCGGTTGATGTCGGACGTAGGGACGAGGGAGCGGGCAGCGGCGCTGGCAGCAGGGCTGTTCTCGGGAGGCTTCCCTGCGAGCTCCGAGGCCGCTTTGGATGCTCTGCTGGATTTCGTGGCGGCGAAGTGCCAGAGAAAATGAACCAGGATGACCGTTGAGATCTCCATGACGGCATGATCACAGCCGTCGATTATACTTACGCTGTAAAATGATCACGGCCTGTAAAATGATTACTATAGCAATCTATATTATGCGTCTGTCTATAACTATATTTATTGTTAGTTACTTCTCTACCAAGCATTCGATCAATATCAATCAGCCGAGCAATTCAAGATAAAGCCAAACGATCCTTACGCTGTTATCTCTATCAGACTCAGCAAACGATCAACTCTCTGAATGTTATCTCGTAGACAAATGAATCTGATTCCATAACAACCTAACCTCATCCAGGCAAATGGGGAATCTTGAGACCAAATCAACGGTGGAAGATGAGGAGGAGGATCATCGCCGATCGGGTCTTGGCGGCTCGGCTTGTCTACCTGCTCGAGCACGCGACGGAGCCACGGAGGGAAGAGAGGAACGTCCGCATACGAATACTCGTGCGGGCCTCCGTCTGCCGTCCATGCGATTTCCCACGAACGGCGACGATTCGTCCCGTTCGGGCCACGCGATTCCCTCTTTTGGGCCTTCTCTTAGTGGGCCGGAAAGAACGCATTTCGGCTGCATCAAAAGCCACTCGATGGACTCAACCACCGCGGACTCTACAACTCTCTCTCTCTCTCTCCCTCCCCCCACCCCCTCGTTGTCTCCGAGATCTCGCCATGGCCATGAGGAACCGGACGCCCATCTACAGGAAGTACCGCGATGCCCTACGCAACGTTCGGGTCCCTTCCCCCTCCTCCCACTCAGGACCGTCGACCTCCTCCTCCTACTCCGGCAGCGGGGGCGGGCCGGTGATCGAGCTTGTGAACGCCTCGCTTCTCCGCCCCGATCGGTCCTACGCTCCTCTCAGCACGGAAGACCCTGGTGGCTCGAGGTCCGATCTACGTTTTCCTCTCTTTATTAGGTTTTCACGTATCTTCGATTAAAACTCTTCTCTCTTTCTGTCGAAACCCTATAGCTGATATCGTCAATTTTTTTAGGGTTAATTGGACTCAGACTGCACCCAGAATTCCTTCGGGGATCACATTTTAGGGATGATACCCCCTTTTTTTTTGGGAATTTGGAGTAGTTATCATTGAGGATGAGAAATGATGTGTGCGAAATTGGTGGTGGATCGTTTCAATTGTTGTAATTGACATTATTGTTCTATCAAAAAGTGAGTATGAAGTCAATTCGTAGCTCACTTGGGTGGGACTAAAACCTAAGAGCTAATGCTAAATTACATGCTAGAAATGGATCTGAAAGTGATAAGAGAGTGTCTGTTTTGAAAGTTGACAATTTTGATGGAGAAGACCCATCTGATCGCTGTGAATCTGTAAGAGATAGTAGTCCTGAATACACTTTGCTTATTTATCAAACTTTTAAGTGTTAATCGTACCTTGCCTATGTAATTTTGAAAATATTGCTTATAAGGAAGATTATGATGTAGGATTTTCTAGTCCAGTCACCCAAAAGAGGAATGTGGGAAGAAAAGACATTTCTAGTGATGACAGCAGATTTTAGGCATTACGAAATGGACTGAAACATTGTATGCTAATAACAATGTAAGGAGGTACTGATTTGACATTCGTGTTACAGGAACAAGCCATTTGCTTCTTTCTAAAAGCAAAGAGCAGTGGAGCTTTTACTAGATTTGCATGTTCAGTTTGGTAAAAGCGGAACTGTACAAAGCACATTAAATCTAGTTATACTTTATAGTTCATATCATAAATTATTAATTTATATAATTTATAATCTCTCTTACGAGCACACAGCACTGTGCTATGATTTGTAAATTAACAGTTCCCTTCTGTTTCTATTTGTTCCAATGATTTTATGGAACAAAATTGGATTATGTAAGCAATTGTGGTTTTACAATTGTTTCTGTATGCCTTTATTTTCTTGTGCTACATATGTTGTATGTAAAGCTTGAAATGGCCATTATGGTAAATCTGAATAAAGGGGTAAAGACACATGCATTAGTAAATACTCATCCCACTTTACTTCCAACTGACGCTATGTCATTCCCCTGTAAATATGTTTTTTGGAAATTATCACATTTATGCTTTATATATTGCTTTCCAATATGGGTCCTTTCAAGGTTTAAGCTAATATATTTTTTAATTTATTTGGAGTCTCTTGAGCATTAAACTAAAGCAGTTGCATGCCATTCCTTTTCATTACTTTGCATTTCTTGTGCTTTTTATCTTGACAAACTTGTTGTAGAATTGTTTCTTAAATGCTGGAATTGAAGCAGTGATATTTGGCAATATTCACTCAACACTTCTGGTGATACTCAAAATGCCATAAAACCAATTAAAAGTGTTGTTAGCTTATTGCAGTACAGGTGCAGCTGTGGTTGGATTACCTCCAGCTTGGGTGGATGTTTCTGAGGAAATAGCTGCAGACATGCAGCGTGCTCGGACAAAAATGTCAGAGTTGGTCAAGGCCCATGCAAAAGCCTTAATGCCTTCGTTTGGTGATGACAAGGAGGATCAACATGCCATCAAGCTTCTTACATATGAAATAACAGATGTATTGAAGAGGTCTGAAAAGAGACTGCAGAAGCTATCTTCCAGTGTTCCTTCTGAAGATTCAAATGTTCGGAAGAATGTTCAGGTGTAGTATAGCTTGACTTTTAGTTTCTTTTTATGATTATTGCCAACCATCACCGGTCTTCCTCATTTGCATGTGATGGTAGGAACAAAATTCTTATGCTAAGTGCTAGTCTGTTTACACAATCACCATCTCTTGGTCAAGAAATCATGTAGATGGATATGGGTGGATGAGACTTCAATGTCAAATCATACTGAAGCACTTCATTGACTCCATTCGTACTGTATTTATTGTCCTCTTGCTGCCCACTTTTTGGATATTTATTATTTTGGGTGTTGATTGTGCAGCGGTCTCTTGCAACTGACCTTCAAAACCTTTCGATGGAGTTCCGGAAGAAACAGTCTTCTTATTTAAAGCGTCTTCAGCAGCAACAAGAAGTCTGTTGATCTCTGATCATGCTTATGCATGTCATTAATTGGGCTTCTTATGTGTGAAGAAGTTTTGAATGCTATCTTTGATGTCTTTAGGGGCAAGATGGTGTTGATTTGGAAATGAATCACAATGGGATCAGACATGAGATAGAAGAAGATGACTTTCGTGATGTGGTACTTTTTTCTCTTTTTCATATTTCATTTGACAGTCCTAACAAGATATGGCAATGAATGTTTATTGTGGGATTGTGAACCCTTTTTTAGATCAAATCTTCATATGAATATCTTACAGCATACATGAAAAGAAAATTTCTTTGTCTGCGACTGAGCATGAAACTATTTTAGCTAATTTATCAACATCCAGTCATTTCTAATTCTTGATCCTTTATCCTGGTCTTTACTCCTTTTTTTCATGACAGGGTTTTAATGATATTCAGATGTCTGCACTAAAGAGAAGTGAGGTATTCACAAGAGAGAGGGAGAGGGAAATTGTACAGGTAACACTTGGAAATTTTAGTTTGTCTATGCCCATAATGTTTGTGTGCTCTATTTATGGCTTCGTCTTGTGAAATCTGTAACAATATGAAGTTTCATGTATGTTTTTCATGACTTATCAAAAATTCTTGTTCGTAGGTTGTAGAATCAGTTAATGAACTTGCTCAGATCATGAAGGATCTCTCAGTCCTTGTGATAGATCAGGTGCTCTTTTAACCTTAAGAGAATTCTTGATTTCCTATTTTCCTGCTGCTGCTAAGTGGCTATTTTCTGATGCATGTGATGCAAGCAGGGAACGATAGTTGATCGGATAGATTACAATGTACAAAATGTTGCAAGTTCAGTAGAAGAGGGCTATAAACAGTTAGAGAAGGTGCCTCTCTTCTCCTTTTTTTTTTTTTCTGCTTGTATTTGTTCAACTAGGCTCTTTAGTTATCTAGAATGTGCAAGTTGATCATGCTGAAACTACCTGTCATCTGCTAGTTGTAAAATGTTAAACTAATTAGGCAATTTTTTGGATGTATGGCCAATAGCCAGATGGAGACAAATACATTATGTTTTTCACTATTGCTGGTAGCTGCAGTCTCATGGATAACCAACTTATGCAACATGTAGTTGTTGCAGACTTGGTATAACTGTGATATTTCAATGTTTATGGTATTTTACTTGGCTAATTTGAACTTCAGCCAATGGTAGTTAGGTTAGCTTGTGACATGGTCAAAAATTTCATTGACACTGTGAGCATGTTCTTTTAGCTGGGCCCAAATAGTTGGAATTTGAAGCGCTCCCTTTGTCAGGCACTTGGCTCTCTGGTCATTTCTCTTCGTCTTTCTCATTGGCTCTCTTTTGATTCTTGACCTGATAAATACCTAACAGTTTGGTTCAACACTTGTGGAACACCCTTTTTTTTCTTGCAATAGAAAAAGATTTATGTTATCTCTGAAGTAATATTATGAAGAACCATTTATCAAAATCTTTTCTATACTTTGAAACCTTCTCCATTGTGACACCATGTTTAAGACATTGCTGGTTAGGGATCTTAATTATAACATGTGATATATCTTGATAATTCTGTGGGATATGTTTATATCTTTTTCTTGAGGTCTATGTTTCGGTTTGCTAACGATAGATATCTTTGTTGGAACTTGCCATACATGCTCAGTTAAGCAAGGATGTTTGAATTCCACTTCTCTATTTGTATTGCTTTAAACTTGATGAAATCTTACTGCAAACTAATACATATTTGAATGTGGCAAGGGTGTCTTGTTGCGCCCTACTGTATTGGATTTCACTGGAACTCCATATGAATGCTGACGTCTTATCTGGTTGTACATTTGCAGGCAGAGCGAACACAGAGGAAAGGGGGCATGGTCATGTGTGCCACTGTGCTTGTGATATTAATTTTCATCATGCTTGTCCTCCTGATATTGAAGACCATATTATTCTAGTTCTGATTAACCAACACATGAAGTCACATGATCTCTTGTGAAGCTTGAGCCACATGGCTTCACCTGTTTGAACATTTCCATGGCTCTTGCCCACAGGATCTTATCATAGGTTCTCATTCAACCAGTTTGCACGTAACTTAATTGAGCTGAATCTTGCTTCATGATATAGGATTGGCCATGGTTCGAGAGCACAATCGTCTGACGAGTATTTCTTCTGATAATCAAAGGCCCAGGTTGGTGCGTGTGTTAGCTGGTTGTTCCAATTGTTTGAGATCTTGTATAAGAAAACTCTGTAAAGATTCAAGTAATGTTTGAAACACAATATTTTTTCCCCGCAGGGACACAATGTTTTGCCCAAAAGTTCATAGTATGTTAATCAAGCTCTTTTCTCAAGTAGATTTATTGTGAAAGCTGGAACATGTTGTATGGTTATTTCTGCATGAAAGAGATATCCTGCCTATGTGGAGCTGTTGTTGAGGACAGCATTTTAACCTCTTATTTGGAGATGACTCCTTGGATGGTATCCTCTCCAGGTCAGAATGAATATTTCTCCAAAAGTTCATGGTATGTTGTTGGGCTATATTATCTCAAATATATTTTTTGTGAAACCTGAAGCATGTTACATGGTTATGTCTGCACGAAAGAGATATATTGGCCATGTATTTTTATCCTCTTATCTGGAGATAATTCCTTAGATGATATCCTCTCCTTGTGAGAATCAAGTCCACACATGAGTGGAAACAGATGCAATCACTGTGATGCTACTACTACACTAGTTGGTTGGTTGCTAAATGTTTATGTGGATGATCATCCTGGCTCTTGTGAGTGGATTGTGCCCTTCATCACTCTCCCAGACATCCACCAGAGTAGGACATCAGTAACAGTAAATTTGATTGGGGATCCAATGCTGCAAACTCTCCATTAAACCAATACAACTTGTAGCAGATGATTGTTGCCAAGAAGAAAGTACCAAGGACCACATCTAAGGCTCTCTTGATCATATACCTTCATCCCTCAATTCTTAGCTTTCTAATCTCATCTCTATACATTTATATTATTTGAATTCTGATTTTTCATTATATTAAAAAAAAATCTTTCATTCAAACATTATATGCTATTAGATGTTTACAATTGGAACTCATATCCACTTAACTGATCATGTTAAGTCTTAATCACTAAGATTAAGATATAGATAAAAGAAAAAGGAACAAGCAAACATGGACAAAGGGATGGGACCTAAACATCTTGCTGGCTAAGTTATGGTTTGCGGAATGATTGCCATTGTTGTCACCATGGATCCCACCCCAAAAGATGCGAATGGGGAGAGCTATTCCTCTCCCAATACTGTATCTACTACAGTAGCTAAGGATAGAAAGGAAAAGAAGGAAGAGAAAAGTCACCAACTTACCTTGAGGTGGAGGTGGTGGTGCTCAAGCAAAAGAGATGTGGGACGCCTAAAGTGATAAATCACCCACTTGCTACCCACACAAGGGTGCCTTAGTTATTTGAGACAAAGTTGGCACCCACTTGGTTTGAACTTTAGGGTTCCTTATTCCATTTCCCTATGGATGGATCATTGGTCTCCCACCCTCTATCATGGAATTGAAGTTTGATTGCACTTTGCATTAGTTCCCAAGAAGTATGTACATATAATACAGTGAATCTTTTTTTTTTTCTTTAAAAACAATTTATTTACTCTGGGAAAATATAATTTTTAGGTGATTACACTTCAATGAAAAAAGTATCTTACTAAACATAGAATTCAAACTCATGTAAATTTAGGTGTTTTTGCTATTGCTGGATTCAAGGAGTTAAATAAATGCACAAATATTGAACCCACAAATAAAAAAATTATTATGTGATGTTCACAGATGAATTTGAGCCAACTTTTTACTGCAGACTGGAAGGATTGATGTGAAGCAAAATGGAGTCTTTTACCCTCATTTACTACAATCACTGGATTGTTGCATGGTTTATAAGCAAGAAATAAAGAGTTGGGTTGCAGTGAGTAGTTCTCTTTCCTTTCCTGCTCATAAACAGATACTGTCTCCCTTCCCAACACACACTGAGAAATCCAAAGTTCCAGATAGAGACACAGTCCACCCCCACCCCTTCCCTCATCCCAATGCTTTTATCCCACCTACACTTCCTTTTCCTCTCCACTTCCCCTTCTTCTAGTTGTAGAACCCCCCCCACTTCCCCTTCCTCCTTCCCTTCTCCTTCTCTATAAGACTTGACCTCCGTCTCTTCCGTTGATCCCCATCCTCGCTCTCTTTCGTCCTTTCTCCTCCGCCCATTTTGTTTCCTTCACAAAAAATGGCGAAACTTTGTGCTTCTCGCTCGCAGGCGGAGGACTCGACCGCCCGCCTCGCCTTCGTCTATGACTGAGCTCAAAGGTGCCTCCTTTACTCTACTGCTGCTGCTTGTTCGTTCTTATCGGCGTCGCCTAGCCTTCGGCTCCTCGGGGGACGGATGAACAGCACCACGGCGGCGGCGGGGATGGGGATGGGGGGCCGGGCGCCGTTCACGGCGGCGCAGTGGCAGGAGCTGGAGCACCAGGCATTGATCTATAAGTACCTGATGGCGGGGGTGCCCGTGCCGCCGGAGCTCGTGATTCCCATCCAGAGGAGCTTTGAGGCCTTGGCTGGGCGATACTACCACCACCCTGCGCGTACGTAGTTCCTACCTCTTCTTTTCTTCCATCGCTGGCTTGGTCGTCTTCCTCTTCTGGGCTATTGTTTCAGTGATGGTATTGATGTCAAGATCGGTTTTTCCTTCTTTTTTTTTTTGTTGGGTTTTAGAGCTGAAACCGGTTAGCTTTTGGGTCCCTGCTGTGATATGCTGCATCTATTTGTGTGTTCTTAGTGTCATCTTCCCTTGTTTCTGTAATGTGATCGAAAGATGCGGACTTTTTACATGTTGGTCCGTTTCTTCTTTCTTGTTTGATGGATTTAAAGCTTAGATTTGGTAGTTTCTCCGGAGCTAACGCCTCGCTATCTTATCGGGATGCCGGAAGTTGGGAACTTTATACTATCATGATGTTCTTTATAGGCGCTCTGAGTTGTACTTTTTCTTTTCTTTTGTTTGAATGCCAAGGACATGAATACATAAACTTTTCTCCCTTTACTTGATTTGATTCTAAGTTTTTCCCATTTATGTATCAAAATATTCAATCTTTTCTTCTTTTTTTTCCCATTTCTTTTGGTAACAGAGTGTATCTGCAAGCATTGCTTATCAGCTTTATTACTGTTTTAAGGTTTCTTTTGGTTTCCACAATAATATAATTTCGGTTTTGCTGCTGCCCCACGCTAATTTTTACTATCTTTTGATGGATGCAACAGAAGAAGACTTCTGAAATATTGGTTTATGTTTTCTGTGCTTGTTTTCATTGTCGTGGCCTATATTGTAAACCTTTTGGATGATATAAGCTGTTTTAATGGGGAAATGGTGGTTCTTCTCGAAGATGATTGTAGCCATCAAAAGTGTAGCCATCCATCATTCAAAGAAATCTAATATGTTTGGATGTTCTTTGAGTTCAGTAGCTTACTGTTCCTACTATGGAAAGAAGCTAGACCCTGAACCAGGGCGGTGCCGCCGAACCGATGGGAAGAAGTGGCGGTGCTCCAAGGATGCGCACCCCGACTCCAAGTATTGCGAGCGCCACATGCATCGTGGCCGCAACCGTTCAAGAAAGCCTGTGGAATCACAATCCGCCTCCCAAATGCAGTCATCCTCATCTACTGTGACCTCCATTGCTCCTGCCGGTAGTGGTGGCGGTGGTAATGGTGGGGGAAGCTTCCAGAGCATTCCCCAGCTCTCGGTTGCAGGTCATAGCAATACACAACAAAGCTTATGCCTGGGGACCTCCAGCTCCTCTCAGCTGCCATTGGGCCCTGGTCCTTTTGGCAACAGGTATCTTTTCTTCCCTCACTGTGAAATGGCAGTACAATTATCATCATTAGGATTTTGTCTATGTGATCATCCATTATTGAGATGGTTATTCCGGACTAAAGTTGGATGTTTGGATAATAAATAGGCCCAGCTGCTCAGATTTACATTATTTGGAAACGTTCATTTGTGTTGATTTATGGATTAAATATAATAGTCTGGTACTCTGCCAGCGCGGTAGCCACCTTTGGAGAAATCTATTATCTTGTCACCCATTTGGAGCAGTCTGGATCGGAGTCGTGAGTGCACAGTATAATGGCTGAAACAGGAAGTCTTTAGTTGTTAATTTTTGGAGAAGTGCTAAATTTTCTGTGAACTTCCTCTTTTCTGAATATAGATGATAGCAACAGGTTTTCAGCTTGTTAGACTCTTGTTTCTAGCTTTTCTTGAAACAGTTTTAGCAATCTGGTCTCTCACAGGCTGTAGAGAAATTTATGCTGTTATAAAGCAGGCTTTGTATGCAAAACCTGAGGCTATTGATTCAATTCTGTGCTGTCATTTGTCATGTGACAGTGACAACCAGGTATTGGGCATACCATCATGCTCATCTCCATTTTCCCCGGTCATTTTTACCTTCATAGGCTGTGGAGGAAGCTGGATGCAACGTGATCACCATGTCACAGCTACAAATTTCTCCATCTTTGCACTATGGTGACAGGATGTCACTTATTGAATATCTTCGATAAAAGACAAGACCTGTCCTTCCAGCTGTAACTTATGACTTCTAAGCAGTATTAACATAGCAAACCGGTAGTTGTTTGCATCGCATGGTTCCTGTGCCAGTTCATCAGTTGACCGTCTCATTTTTACATGTTCTCTACAGACCCTTTTAGAAACTTGTCCTCATGAAACAAAGTTGTGCTGCTTGTGCCTTTTTCCTATTAGGTGATGCAGTTATCACTGTCATAGTTGTCCCCACAGAGCTATATTGAAAGGAAAAGGTCATCCGCAATCAGACAATTCTAACTTAGGAAATGGACCTTGTTATCTTCATTTTATATTAAAAAACTAATGGTCCACTCTGGAAACATTCCATGTTATTGGACACTCAAAGAAACCATCAAATATATTAGTTCTTGGGTATTCTTATAGTGATCAGTGAAAATGGTTGTGTCATTTTGGGAAATTTAGTCCCTTTTTTCTTGCTTAGCAATAATGGCTTATGAGTTAGTGAATGCAACATCTTTGTAGGAATAAAAGTCACATGCAATAAGGACGCAATTATTGGATTTAGCCAAAGAAGGCAAATGATTGACTCAAGTTGATGGATGAATGACTATGTCCTAGGTAGATGAAGTGCAGAAAAATGTGATCCATATTTCAAGTTCTTCATGTTGGCATCAAGGGCTTGCAAAAGCATCCTTGATCTTGTGCACTTTTTGGTTCTTATATCCTAGTTCTGACTATACAACCTAGATACCCGAAGAATGAATAGGAGTGGGTACATGTAGGAAGCGAAGCAGCAGCTGCACGGTGGATTTCGTAATGAGTTTCAGTAGTTTCTGGAGCGAGTTCAGTAGGTCGAAGTTTTGCTTTCTATGTCCAAAAATAAAATGGCTCTCCATGTTATCAGCATAAATTCATTCTTCTGCATATTGCAGGTACTTCTGTGGTGTTAAACCTGGGGCGGACGAGCACAATTTCTTCTCAGAAACTTCTGGAAGTACAAGGCATCTTGGAATGGATTCAATTGACGGCTCATGGCGCTTGATGCCATCCCAAGTGTCTTCATTTCCACCATCAGAAGCTCGAGGTCCTTCTCTTCTGCAGAGTGCTTGCCCTCCACCTCAGTCAGTTCAAGATCTTGGGCAGGTCTCATTCAGCTCAATATCAAAACAACAGCAGCAGCATTCCTTTGTCGGGAGCAAGTTTGATTCACCACAGCCCGCGAAGCATGAAAGCCAATTCCTCCGGCCTTTCTTTGACGAGTGGCCTAAGACGAGAGACTCTTGGTCTGATCTAGAAGAAGATCGATCCAACCGAGCATCATATTCCACAACCCAGCTCTCGATTTCCTTTCCCATGGCCTCCTCGGACTTCTCTACCTCCTCTTCCAGGTCACCCAAACGTAAGTTCATTGACTTCTTCCGATATATAATTTATCTATTCCTTATTATAAATTTGCAGCTCTTTCTTGTTGTAACGATTTCTCTCACTGATCCTTGTCTCTGCAGATGATTGAAAGAAAAGCACTTCGATCGTTGGGTGCCGACTCCAAATGGCATTCAATGTTCTTGCTTCTTAGTGCATTTTTAGGAGATTGTCTCAAGTTTGCCATCATCTCTCTTGATGTGGTAGAACCTTTTCAATTCCCTGATGTTGCTGATTTCTTGTATTGAAACTGTATGTGGAAGATGTATGCAAAAGTTGTCATTTTGGTCATCTACCACATATCTTGATGCTTGATGTCATCTTTTAATCGTTCCAAATAAATCTTGTGGATACTTTTGTGGCTCAAAACTTTAAAGTAGACAATCAAAATTTATCATCTAAAAAGCTCATTTTTCATGGTATTAGTTTATAATGAGAACAATTGATGGTTTAGTTCTTAATGAGTAGATTTGTTCACTGTTTAGTCAACAACTTCAAGAACACTTTTTTTTGTCTCTCACACAAAATGTGAGAGCTGGCAATTTATTGTTGTTGTGTAATTATCACTGTTTCTTAAGCCTTATTTCGTGGTGGTATTGACATAAAAACAGAAAAAGATGGCTTTTTTCTTGAGCAAAAATTTAGGCATTTTGCTAAATTTGACCAACTTAAACCAAATCCAAATCATGTCTTGGACTTCATTTTTCTTGGTAGTCCAAAAGTAATGCAAATGATCTTATTAGTAGTTTTACCTTAAATAAGTTTTCATGAAATGTTTAAAGTATTTATGATAAAATTAGAATATAAAATCTTAAAGTAATATATAGTAAATTAGCATGTGTGTGAAAAATAAATATGGATGATATGAATTTCAAATTCATACAAAAATAAGGACCCTATGACGAGAATAAATATTACTTGTATAAGTACGAGATAAAAAAAAAGAAATATAAAATATGATGTAATATTTATATTTTTTAAAAACAAAAAAATCATTACAACAATGCCTTAACCAATCAAAACGTATATCGAAGACTAATAATAATAATACCTATATTTGTTTTAATAAAGTAATACAAATAAAGTTTGTTAAATAAATATATCAATAATGTGACTTCAATATCAGATATTAAAGGACTAAATAAATAAAAAGGTCAACAATTGTGGCTTGACATTTATGATTACATGATGAGTACACATATCTGTCTTCTCTTTT